TGCACGAAAGGAAGGGGGAAACCCTATCTAGAAGTCGTTTTTGATGAGGAGAGGGAAAACCCCTCCCTAACGCTGGGCAAGATCAATAAATAAGAAGCTTCGGCTTAGGGCGACCAAACCAAGCTCGATTCGCTCCAAATTCCCACTGTGCCTTCCTTGGGAAAGGTGACCCGTATCTTCAGGTCGCTCCAGGCTCTACCGGAACCGAGCGTACCTTGGGACACGCGCTACAAAAGGCTTAGGAAGCGGGCCTGTCTGATGAGGGGACTTCGTAAACTATCTAACTTTGAAGCTATTACACCCAAAAGGGTGAAACCACAGAAGCAGGTAACCCTGACTTCAAGACACATGGTGAAGAGCACCGGTCAAGCTCACAAGAGGGAAGGAACGAAAGATTGATTGATCTGCTGCTAGATCGGAGATATAAGGGAAGCGCTGGTAACCGAACTCTTTCGCGAAAGGGATTCCACCGCCGAGTCTGTGTCTGTTATGAGAGCAGTGGCTAATAGAACTGATGCGCCTCAGAAAGCAGCGTCCTTCTCAATCAATGCCTGGGCATCCCATACATAACCACCGAACTGACATTCTCCGTACTGAGTTCTCTCAGGTTCCAACTCTTGTTTTTCCGTAATAATATAATATAAAAAGGTTCATGACCATCGATCGGTCGGAAGGTTAAGAGTGAGAGATTTATGTTCAAAGTCAGGCGCTTCCTTGTATCCCGCTTGGCGGTACATAAGGGGACAGACGAGAATAGACCTCAAGGTCGGAACCAGCTGTTTTGGTTTTCTTTCTTTGGCTATGGTTGCCTTGACTAGAGGGTGCCAAACCATTTAGAATGAGCCGTATCCAAAGATCCATTTACCCAGACGGTGTGCGAAACGAGGAAATTGGCCGTAGTAGGCCGAGTTTGACTCTATCGCCCGACACACAGCCCTCTATGTAGCGCTACCACAAGACCTTTCGGTGCCATCACAAGAACGAAGGAGACCCGCAAAGAGCGTTTGTTTGCACAAGGAGTGGAGCGATCCCTGAAATCATAGGTCCGATGAACAACTAAACCGAATGATCGAGAGACAATAACATAAGGGCACCTCTATAGACGCGAAAACCGAGTTACAGACCCCGGTGTGATGAATGTGAGAAGCATCGGCCCCGGAGAAGGCTGGATCGTAGGAAGCGAGTTATACGTCTATGAATCCTTCCTGTTAGCTCAACGAGTACCCAATATTCCCAGTAGGAGTCGGCATATCGTGCATAATGGATCCTGATTAAGTATGGGTCATCGGGGCGAAGAGGGGGGATCCCCTGTTGCTTTCGGGCCAGGCTCTAACCCGCTCACCTGTACCGCCTCCTCACCCAGCTCTATGAAGAGGCCTCTCCTTTCACTAAACGAGTGGTTCTTTGTGGAAATCCCCCCATTCTTTTTGGATGGAGAATGGAGTGCAACGAGCGACGGCGAACCGGCAGTTAGCTTCCAACCCTCACGGGCGAGGAAGGCACAAGGGCTCGACGGTTTGCCCGCGAAATCAAAAGCTGCCGTGTGGGATAACTATGAGACCGTGTTCCAACTCTTTTTCTTTAATTAAGATAAGAAGAAAAAGAGGTTCCTAAAAATAAACTTAGATCTTCAAGCTAAGATGCTAGAAGTGATAATTAAAGCGGAAAACTTGAAATAGAATGAATGATTCTTATTTGAAAGAATGAAGTCAAGCTAAGATTTCCAAGCAGAGGTAGGAAGAAGTGCCATCTGCTTAATCGGAATAATCCGCTGAAACAAACGCGGAGAAGGCCAATAGCGGGGCTTTTAAGCCACGTTGATAAAGCAGTGAGGGGGACCCTATTCGACCGATCAAAAGCCTTTTTTAGTTAATAGACTATTTGATCTTGTTCAAACTCAAATCTTTGAGCTAGGGCTTAATTATATGGGTAAGGTCAAGTTGATAAGCCGCCTACTTCCTTAGCGAGCCTTTCTTGCTGTCCTTCATGGGGGAATAATAAGTTGGAGCGGATCCCTGCCGCCTGGTAGCGGGTGTGTGTGGGCGAAGTCGAGATTAAGATGAAAGGGACGACGATTAGAATATTCTCCTTTAGAAGACGATTCTCAAGAACGGATAAAGGATGGATGAGACAAATGATATGACCTAGAGCAATGGCATGGTGAACCAAAAAGTATCCAGGCCCTGTTGTTAGGAATAACGAATTTTTATTCTCATTAATAGCACTTAACCAACCAACCAGCTAACCATATGCTTTTACCCGCGCTGAATGCAGGATCATTCGCGGGGGATAAGAGTACATCAAACCCATATAAGGCCTTACCGTGAACAGATTGTATCCACTGAGCAAATATAGATAGATAGTAGGTTCAATCAAGATTTGTTTTGATGGAGTACCATTACCAGATGCGAGCATAACATCATTATGAAATTGAAGTCCTAGAGTGGGAGGGCCTCGGAATAAACTAGCCCAACTCACTCAGATGAGAGATGTTAGCTTCCTAACATTCTTGCCATGCAAATGCATTATCCTTCTTTCGTTCCGGATTATAATCCCTGATAGAGAGTTATTAATTGTGTTATAAAGACCCATCCGCGAAGAGTGTTTATAGCAGTTCCCGCCCCTTGTGAGGTACCGAATAAGTGAAGTTACTACTTGAATCGGGCTTCTGAGCATACAGATTCCACTGACCTATAAAAAGAGGCTCTAAACTTTGGGCTGTAGGCATCGAATGCTGCTATTGAATGCGCTGTTGTTGGTGAGTGAATAACCGGTCTTGTCGTATCAGCTGTGATGTTATCAATTGAATCAGCTGCACATGAGCTAGTGGGATATCGATAATATGAATCTCACTTTATCAATTTCTTTTTCATGTCTCCGACAAGTATAATAGTAGCAGAGGAATAGGCCCAGAATCAACTGCTGGTATAGAATCAGTTCTTTGCGTAGACGCTCTTGGTCCAATTTAATCAGAATCCGTTGTTGCGCTAGAATAAGCTCTGGGACTAGGGCAAATCCTGGTGGAAGGTTTTTAATCATTCTTTGGGATTAGCTCAGAGGAAGGCGGCTTTTTATGCGACATGTTCGCAGAATGAACCGAGACTCTATAGATGACTATTTCCCTCGTGGAAAGAGCCATTATTCAACACTTACAATACAAATAAGGCATATTAAAAGCAACAAAATCTTTCTTCTTGGGCAAGAGAATCACTAAGACGTACCGGAATTGAATCAATATCGGTACAGCCGGAGGCATGGTCAAGTACTGAATCTCTGGCGGAGCCTTATTCAAAGACAGGATTGGGAACCCATAAAAGACCGATAGGGAGAACAGGCAGATTCCCCACTCAATTCCTCTATTAGATAGGGCGGCTAGCCATATATATAGAAAGGGCTGTGCAGTTGATAGAAGCAAGCCCACTGACCGAGCTAGCAGGGCACTTCTTATGGTAGGAGGCTCATTGCCAGCAAACCCAAAACTTTGAAAAATGGGGCCAATTGGGAAGCGGCCCGACTTAGCCAGCTGACAGAGATGCGGGGGTCTTCCTCCTCTTTTGATTGGTCTACGGGACTCCTGCAAACTAGCTGATAAGAAAGCAAAATGCAGCACACAGAAATTTAGATGAATTTCACATGATTTCTATAATGTTCTTTTTTTATCCGCCGATTCATCTATACGCCGATCCTACTATAGAGAAAAAGCCCTTATTTACATCCTCTCGTCTTCTTGATCGTCCGATCTGCGCCTTCCGCCTTCATAAAGAAAGAATTTCCAGCAGACGATAGCCTTCCAATTGCTTCTGATCCCCGAACTTGAGTCTGATAGGCCCCCCTTTTTGGGGTCGATCTGCCGACAGAAAACTTCGATAATGCGACAGCTGCGGTTGAGACTCCGACACTGGTCGAATTCAAGGATGAGAAGCAGTTCAACAAATGGTCTAACGGCTCGAACTGCGCCAAAAGCATTTATCAAGTATGAGCCGCTCCTTGTGAGAGTAAGAAGGTCTCACAGGCAGTTGAAGTAAAAGCAAGGAATTTGTAACCAGATAAAGAGCAGATCGGGGGGAAGTTAAAGATAAAGATCGATTCTAGGGCCAGTGGCCAGTCTTGTTTAAGAAAATAAGACATCTTTCGTGTCAAGCAGATCACGTAAACCAACCACTAGTGTAGTAGGAATCAGATGCCTTAAATGGGCCTACAAAGGGCAAAGAAACGAACTCTCGCAACAGAGCGTAGCCTTCAAGCCCAGCCTCTCATTCGATTCTATCCCTACTATTTAGCTTGGCTGGTCCCACAAGAAACTTCGAATTCTTCCTCGCTAGTTCCGAGTCTGACATTTACCTTTTTCAATTCTTCTCTTTCTTCCCATAACTCAGAAAACTCAGTGTACCAACCCCTTCTAAAGGAATCGAGTTCGGATCTGCCTTCATCTAAGAATTGGCATTGTGCTTTCTCTTTTGGAAAAATCCTTATCCAGTAAACAGATTCTCGGCTACCAAGCGGGGTACCTTCTCATACTTTTCTTCTACTCTTCAGTTCGAACCCTTGTTGTTCGTTCGCTTCGCTCATCAAATCAAGAAAGAAAGAAATTCTCTATATATGGAAATGAACACCTACTGGCTTGCTTTCCGGGGAGAATATACATTCCCCGTGCTTAGCTACACCTCTTCTGCTGTCCTTGCTTGTTGTTAGCGTTCCTTCGACGTGACGTCTCTCAGTCCCTCCTTGCTTGTTGTTAGGACGATATGCCGCTGGGTCTCTAAGTTACCTATAAGAGAGTTTGAAAGCTCTCTGTAGTAAAGTTAGTCATAGAATCGAAATACCTCCACACTCAGGCAACGCAGCATATGAGAAGACATAGCTAGACTAACTGAGAAGTCAAAGCACTTAGTGTACGGTAAGTCCTACTGCAAGGGCTAAGACTAGTTCGAATCCTAGTTCTCTCAATCTCTTCCTCTTATTGGTCGTACTACTAGCTTGGAGCTAATGAACCTCAGTTGCTAACAACAAGGTCTTCCTGCTAACAACTGTATCGGATCGGAAGTAACGGCTTTCGAGCCGGAATAGAGAGAGAGGGCTGCCGCATAGGTATACAACATGACTTCCTCAGGAGCAATCTTTAGATCCTTTGGTTTAAGAGACTCCCTAAGGAAATCTATCATAAAACCTATCCAATATGGATCCAAAGGGCGTCCACGACCGATCCACCATTCAAGGGAGAATCGATAGAGGGCTTTGGTATAGATAGCCCATAATCTCCGCGTCCTTTTAGAAGGGCGAGAAGTAAGTGAGGCTAGGCCGCGATAACCAAGACCCCCTATGCGACACAATGTAGAGAACCTCTTTACCGAGTACTTCTCGTACACTGCATACAGACCATAAGGGTTATAGAAGTTACGAAGTGACTTTATAGAAATGGGTGATAAATCCACAGTCATCTTCCTAACTCTAAATCTCTTCGCAAATTCACCACACCCGGAGTGGGAGATAAGCGACTTTTGGTCACTTATCTTTACTCCCAACTCATCAAGGACTCGTCGGTACATAAAGGCTACATCCCGGTCGGCGATTATCACGTCGTCGCCCAGGATTGCGTAGTCAGTAAAATGACGACCTGGTCTAACTCTTTCGGCACAATACCACACCACAAAGTGATGAGAAAGTGCAAAGAGAGGCCAAGAAGAATAATACCCGAGAGGTTGTCCGCAAATGAACGATAAGCCCCACCCTTTAGTATTTACGAAGGGAACCTGAAACCTATTAAAGGCCAGGCAGGAGTTTACCGCAGCAGATGCGAACGACCGGTCGAAGAGATAACACATCAATTCGAAGAGAAGGACCAATGGCCACCTATCGGTAGCCGCCTTCAAATCAAACGAGTAGAGTACCTCTTTGCCAACCAATCTATCCAAAGGTTTGGTTTGGTTAAAAGTACCATCCATTGGCAGGGTCTTTAAGACCTCCATAAGCCAATCATGGACAGGCTTCAATAACCTTTGGTTGACATAATTGCCAATGGCAAAAATTCTTCTTTTGGCTCCTCCCTCACAAGTCTGTCCTAGTCGGCCAGTGGCTGGTTGGAAAGGAGATGTGAAGTACTTAGTAAAATAAGGACCTAACACTCTTTCTCTTTCAAACCAATCCAAGTCCAAGCCCGACCACACTTTATTATTTCTATCAAGTGCGAAACGGACTCTTTCCGCCCACAAAGTCCCTTGGGACCACTGTTCTCCCATGGCATGCGTCAGATTAAGAAGTGAGGCCCAACCCTTACTTCCAGATGTAAAGCTGGAAAGCAGGACCTTACCTCAGACTTCTCACTGGGCGCCCTACCATCTTCAAAGCAGTGACCACATCATCCATTGTGGGCAAGGCTTTCCAGGTAGGCATCCAACGAAATCCTTGGTTAAGAGGAATCCGTGAAATACCGGTACGTATCTGTAAAACAGAATGAGCATATCAACTTTCATAGCTCCGACTGCCTGACAGATACTAGGCAAATCATACGCCGGTGTGACAATAGATTCAAACGTCTTCCTGTTTACTTTCTTCGCTAGCTCCACCACGCGAGCTAGTGAAAAGAAGGACAGGTAGATTTTGACCAGCACATCGGCCTTTTCATCCTTCCTCATAATCAAGTTACGATGAAAGGACGGTATGATGCGCGGATACCCAGATCTCGTAAGGGATACAGGGACTGGCAACAGCCCAGGTGTATATATACACCATAGGCTATCTGAAGTGAGGAAGCACACTGCTTTAAATAAAGCGCAGTGAAAAGCAACCCCGAACTCTTAACCAGTCGATGTACTTCCTTCGAAAAGAGGTAAGCACCAATACAGGTTTCCTTA